CCACCGTGTCGATGTGAAGGTAAACACAGGAGGATTGAGCTAACCAAATCTCAGAGGTTTCTTAGATAGATGTCTGTGGAGTGAGTGACACTTCAATGAAACGCAGTGACCGTTCGTGTTTGTCAATATGAAACGGTGTTCAGGAACAGGTATTAGGACAGTGAATAACGTCATTTATGATTTAACATGTTGATGTTTTATTTTAGTGGTTCTCAACTGGTACATCACAGGTCTTACTGATGGGTCATGGACAGTAAAATAGGCTTATTATGGGAAAGCATTTCCCATTTCATTTGTTGCATCCAGTCAACCTCTACTATGGTTGTCACAGTCCTCGTCTGCACCAGTCTGTCTTTGTGTCTGCACTACACTTCCCAGAATCCTCCTCGTCTCCACACCTGTATTCACTCCCTCACTTACCAGCCTGTCCCTCGTTATCATCATCAGTGTCACCTGTTTTCACCTTATGTTTGATTCATGCTTGTATTTAGTTTGCTTCTGTTCAGTCTGTCCTTGTCGGTCGTTGTAGATGTTTTGGTGTTGCGTGAGTTATACTGCCTGTTTGTACCTGCCTGAAGTTTTATTTGTTAGTAAAAGTATTTGCATTGGAGCTCTTGCCTTTTGTCTTCTTCTGCCTGCTCCGCACCGTGACAATGGTATTTTGGCACACATTCATTTGTCACTAGGTAGAAGCCAGCCAAATGAGACTGATGCCAACATGAACAGGTTGCTCGACATCCTCTCATCCTACGCAAAGTAAAGGAAACATGACCCAAACTAAACTAGATCTGAATATAGAGCATGAACCATCGAAAGCCACTTGTGTTCGTCATGTATATTGCTGAGCTTATGCGATGGATGGATGGATAGAGATAGGTAAATAGACAGATAGATAGATAGATAGATAGATAGATAGATAGATAGATAGATAGATAGATAGATAGATAGATAGATAGATAGATAGATAGATAGATAGATAGATAGACAGATGGATAGATGGATGGATGGATGGATGGATGGATAGAAAGATGGACGGACAGATGGATAGATGGATAGATACAACAAAAGATGATAGATAGATAGATAGATAGATAGATAGATAGATAGATAGATAGATAGATAGATAGATAGATAAATAGAAAGATGGACGGACAGATGGATAGATGGATAGATAGAACAAAAGATGGATAGATGGATAGATAGATAGATAGATAGATAGATAGATAGATAGATAGATAGATAGATAGATAGATAAATAGAAAGATGGACGGACAGATGGATAGATAGAACAAAAGATGGATAGATAGATAGATGATAGATATATAGATAGATAGATAGATAGATAGATAGATAGATAGATAGATAGATAGATAGATAGATAGAGAGAATAGTACCTCAATGGACTTTGTATTCCCACAATCACACCTCTTGAGTGTCAGTGAGAAGGAACGTCCTTCTTCTTCTGTAATTTCCAGCTCGTAATGTCTCGCTCCTCCAGTTTCTGTCCATCAGTCAGAGCTCAATCAAACGCTCGCTTCATCACGTCTCTGTTTGTGTTATTTAGTTTTTCCACCTGCTCAGGGACCAGGTTTGTAATTGCTTCTTTAGAAACAGGGGGAGAAAAATAAATAATCCCGTCTCAAAGGTAAAACCTCAACACACTTTCTGTTCCGAGCCGCATTCATTTCCACTCCGGGCCGTTTGTTTGACTGCCATAATATAGAAAGCCACAGCGTCCAACCTGTCGTAATGAACAGAAAATGCCTCCATTAGCCCGAATCACAGGCGTAAAGCTCAGCGGGACGACTCGAGGAGATGAGCTGACACAAGCGTCGTGTTCATATGCAGAAAACACAGACAGAGAGTGAGCGATGAGCGTCGCCAGATGCATTTGATCAACTTCAAGTGCTATCGTTTAAGAAGAAAACCCAATTGGGAAACGTGTTTGTGCAAAGCGTTGGTGCCAGAGTGCACGATCTGTTGTTAAAGCTGTATTAAGAAAAGTAGGATCTGTCTCGGTGAGTGACGTGGAGATAATGGTCTCGCTGGTGTGAAGTGATGAGGGGTTTAAGACGCTTTAAGACTGAGGCTTTAGAGATGAAATGAATGGTTCGCTGACTGTCTACCAGTGAGCAAATGCACGACTTCCATCATATCATCCGCTCAAGTAGTAATTTTTTCACGTCTGCTGGTTTTAGAGGGTCACTTGTTTATTCTTCTATAATTATAATGCAAAAGCACATTAGTGAATGCATTAAAGTGCATCTAATGTACAGCTAGAAGGACCTTTTAAAAGACATTCGTTGTGTTCTTCGCATGCTGTGCGGATGCCATTATATGCACTTTCTGTCTGGATGACATTGATTTATGGTGTAATTTCCCATAATGCAATTTTCTGTTACCAAACTTTCATTTCTGGTGCTGACAGAAATCTGAATACAGCAGGTTAGGGTTCGTGTGTTTGTGTGGATGTATCATCTATGTCATTTTAGTCATTTTACATACTTTGTTCTATTATATTTAGTTAATAATAATAATTTTTCATCATCAAGGACAGATTGTATAGATCATTATAGACATTTGTGATGTTACAAAAGACTTGAATTTCAAATTATTTCTTTTAAACTTTCAATTCATCAATGATGAAATGTATCACAGTTTTCTAAGCTCGTTTCCGCCACAGAATAAAACATTTTAAAAGATGATCGCGACTTTTTATCTCACAATTGCGAGTTTACATCTCACAGTTCTGACTTTATAACACGCAATTGCGACTTTATATCATGCAGTTCAGACTTAAATCTCACAATTGTGTTATAAAGTCAGAAATGCGAGATATGAACATGCAAATCTGAGATAAAAAGTCAGAAATGTGAGATAAAAAGTTGCATTTACCTTTTTTATTTTATATTCTGTGGCGGAAACAAGCTTCCATAGTTTCCACAAAAATATGAAGCAGCAGCACAACTGTTTTCAACACTGATAATAATCATAAATGTTTAGAGCAAATCAGAATATTAGCATGATTTCTGAAGGATCATGTGACATCGTGGCCTAATGGTTCAAGAGTCAGACTGGTATCCCAAAGGTTGCGGGTTCGATTCTGCAGCAGCCAATCAGGACTGGCCTGTAGTATCACATGTTTTAGAAACGGCTCACGATAGAGTCTCTCGTTCCGCCTCTCAGGGAACCATGGTTATTCTACTCTATTATATTCTATTGTACTGTACATAATCAACTTTCTAACAAACATTTAGCATTTCTAACAAACTGTTATTAATTTCATAATGCAGAATTCCACTATGTGCCAGATGTAGTATTTATAGTCACTAGTCATAAATTTTGATCAGCTGATCGTCAGGAATATCAGTCTGAAACAGGAATGAAATGCCGCTTTCTGATGGTGGAGCGGATGTGTGCTGGTTTAAATCAAAGATAAGCGAGCTTAACATATCATATATATCCAGACATGTGTCCCGGAGGATTAGAAATGTGTCAAAGCAGGAATATTAGTCAGATGGCTGAGAGATAAATAAGGACAGTCGAATGCATTCATATCTGCATATGTATCTTGATGGATTTCGTGTCTTGCACAGATTCATTTTTATAAATTTTCATGATTTTTTTGATGAATACAGGCTTTGCAACGGTCCATTTGGCAGGTTGTAACCACAGTAATGCGCTAAGAATAAAACTTTGCTAATCAACTATTCAGAGCTGAACAAAGTACACAACTTCCTTACTGGAGTGAAAGTACAGATACTACTGGTCAAATATCAAGTAAAAGTTGTAAAATCCGAGGTGGACAGTAACAAAGCACATTTACTTGAGGACTGTACTTAAAGGGTTAGTTCAGCCAAAAATGAAAATGATGTCATTAATGACTCTCCCTCATGTCGCTCCAAGCCCGTCAGACCTCCGTTCATCTTCAGGACACAGTTTAAGATATTTTAGATTTAGTCCGAGAGCTTTCTGTCCCTCCATTGTAAATGTGTGTACGGTATACTGTCCTTGTCCAGAAAGGAAATAAAGACATCATCAAAGTAGTCCATGTGACATCAGTGGGTTAGTTAGAGTGTGTTGAAGCATCGAAAATACATTTTGGTCCAAAAATAACAAAAACTCTGACTTTATTCAGGATTGTATTGTGTTCCGGTTCTGTTGTGGATCCGCGTTCAGTGCCGCTGTTGACGTGTGTCTGGTGTGTGTGTGTGTGTGTGTGTGTGTGTGTGTGTATTCTGGTTCTGTTGTGGATCCGCGTTCAGTGCCGCCGCTGACGTAAGACGCTGCTGACGTGTGTCTGGTGTGTGTGTGTGTGTGTGTGTGTGTGTGTATTCTGGTTCTGTTGTGGATCCGCGTTCAGTGCCGCCGCTGATGTAAGACGCTGCTGACGTGTGTCTGGTGTGTGTGTGTGTGTGTGATACACAGATACCTTAAGCCTCTGAAGCAACCTAGTGAATAGATGTGTAGTATCTGTGGAATTAAGAGCTTTTAGAACGTTATAAAGCCTATAGATATTAAACAACTGAATTGACAAAAACAGATCATAATCATCTTTATTTTTTAAATGTAAAACTCCTACCACCCCAACAAAACAAGTACACATCTACAGTATGTGTATACATTCATGCACATTTGAATCAAGTGGTCTGTAAAAATCCAACCTGGTTTAAAACCCAGCAACCCAAGCATAGCTATAACTGGCCAACAGCAAACCAATAGACTGCAAAAAACATCTAGTGATCTAAAATCACGTTTTAGAGATGAAAAACATTTAAAATCATGCCCTGACTGACGTTACAACTGTCTACTCAAGGACCTTGACCGAAATGTAGTGGAGTAAAAGTATTTGTCTTTCAAATGTAGTGAAGTTAAAGTCAAAAGTTTCCAGAAAAAAATAATACTCACGTAAAGTACATATTCTCAAAAAGTGTACTTAAGTGTAGTACTCAAGTAAATGTGCGTCTACATCTGAGTTCTGCATCTCTGTCTCTCTTCAGAACTACAAAGCAGTTCTTGTGGGAATCCCGGAGTTCCAGCCAAAGGAATCCTGAACGGATCCAGCTTTAACGTGGGAGACCGAATCCGGTACCACTGTGTGTCTGGATACACACTCGACGGCCACGCTCAGCTCACCTGTGTCACCAGCACATCTAATGTCGCCGTGTGGGACTTCCCCATCCCCATCTGCAGAGGTAAGAGCTTTCCATTTTCTGCCGCTGTGTAGAGCGTTGCAGGGCAAGACTCGCCTAAAACGTCTGAATGTCATTGCATTAGATGATTAAATATCAAAGCAATTTCTGGAAACAAATGATGATCAAGCTCTTCTCAGAACTACGTTTTTTTTTGTAATGACATTTTAACTTTAAAGGGCTGAGCGATTATAGCTAAATCAATATTTCAATATATCTTGATAATTATGTATATGCTCCATCATTTAAAAATAAACACACTTTCTCAAGTAGATGCAAAATGTAGTAAAATTATGTTTTTGTCAAAGGAACATTTTTTATTAAATCATTTTGATTAATCATTTTTATTACAATTTTTGTGGATAAATATAATAATACCTTATAGTCAACAGATTAAATTGAAAACAATTAAATTTGCATTTTTGTATTGCGATATACACTCACCTAAAGGATTATTAGGAACACCATACTAATACTGTGTTTGACCCCCTTTCGCCTTCAGAACTGCCTTAATTCTACATGGCATTGATTCAACAAGGTGCTGAAAGCATTCTTTAGAAATGTTGGCCCATATTGATAGGATAGCATCTTGCAGTTGATGGAGATTTGTGGGATGCTCATCCAGGGCACGAAGCTCCCGTTCCACCATATCCCAAAGATGCTCTATTGGGTTGAGATCTGGTGACTGTGGGGGCCATTTTAGTACAGTGAACTCATTGTCATGTTCAAGAAACCAATTTGAAATGATTCGAGCTTTGTGACATGGTGCATTATCCTGCTGGAAGTAGCCGTCAGAGGATGGGTACATGGTGGCCATAAAGGGATGGACATGGTCAGAAACAATGCTCAGGTAGGCCGTGGCATTTAAACGATGCCCAATTGGCACTAAGGGGCCTAAAGTGTGCCAGGAAAACATCCCCCACACCATTACACCACCACCACCAGCCTGCACAGTGGTAACAAGGCATGATGGATCCATGTTCTCATTCTGTTTACGCCAAATTCTGACTCTACCATCTGAATGTCTCAACAGAAATCGAGACTCATCAGACCAGGCAACATTTTTCCAGTCTTCAACTGTCCAATTTTGGGGAGCTCTTGCAAATTGTAGCCTCTTTTTCCTATTTGTAGTGGAGATGAGTGGTACCCGGTGGGGTCTTCTGCTGTTGTAGCCCATCCGCCTCAAGGTTGTGCGTGTTGTGGCTTCACAAATGCTTTGCTGCATACCTCGGTTGTAACGAGTGGTTATTTCAGTCAAAGTTGCCCTTCTATCAGCTTGAATCAGTCGGCCCATTCTCCTCTGACCTCTAGCATCAACAAGGCATTTTCGCCCACAGGACTGCCGGATACTGGATGTCTTTCCCTTTTCACACCATTCTTTGTAAACCCTAGAAATGGTTGTGCGTGAAAATCCCAGTAACTGAGCAGATTGTGAAATACTCAGACCGGCCCGTCTGGCACCAACAACCATGCCACGCTCAAAATTGCTTAAATCCCCTTTCTTTCCCATTCTGACATTCAGTTTGGAGTTCAGGAGATTGTCTTGACCAGGACCACACCCCTAAATGCATTGAAGCAACTGCCATGTGATTGGTTGATTAGATACTTGCATTAATGAGAAATTGAACAGGTGTTCCTAATAATTTTTGGTGAGTGTATATTGTGACACGTTATATTGTTACACCCCTATCCAATTGCCATGGATTCAGGTTTTTATCGACTGAAGCGACGCTCGCTAGTCGTTGGTATACGAGGCAAAGTCACCCGCCAATCTCCCTGCTAATGTCCCGCCCTGCTGGATGTATGAAGCCGGTTGTCATCAGTTTCACACAGAGGAACCCGAGCTCATCACATTAACTATGAACATGCTCAAAATGACAAGTGAACAAATACTATATTTGAATGCATTTCTCTGTCATTTAAAACCTGAAATGCTTCTTTTGAAGTGTTTTGCCTGTGCTGTCTCTCTTATAAATGCCACTTGCTGTAATATTTTATTATCCAATGCAATGACTTTCAGACATTAAGTAAGTATGCTTTAAGTGTGCAAACACTTTTCGGGGCCACAGACTCTTTTTTTTTTTTTAAAGCTGTGTTTCGCTAGTTTGCTGTAAGCCCAGAATACTCTGGCTTTGGCTTTGATATATGCAGCTTTTATATTATTCTGTTATGTTGAATTTTAAATGAACGTTGTTTTTTACTTGTATTGTTCTTAAAATTCTCTGTGCTTCTCATTTGTCTGGCTGGGACTGCGTTAGATATGGAGATTTATGAAGTGTTCTGCTGTAGATTCCTGCAGTTCTTTTGCATTAGTCTTCTTTCGCATGGCACAATCAAACGCAAGTCGGCCCAGTGGGAAAAGCCTTCGAAATACAGTTAATAATGTAGGTGTTGCTTTAATTATCAGTGTGAGAATCTTTGATGTGCACTCAGGTATTGTGGGTTGCGTTTTACATTTTAGATTTGCATGAAAATAGAATATGCTGTATCCCTTGGATATGTGAAAAATGAGCGCTGCTATATCGTCTGTGCTTGATGAAAGATGAACATGGCTCAAAACTCACTTTTTGTGTAGAAAAGGCCTCATTAAGAAGCATTTATACCAGCAAACATGTTTGATGTATTATAGCCTCTCGTCTTCTTATTAGTTTTGCTTCAGTGGCTTCTGGCTGGATGAATGAAGACAGAGACAGCATTTGTGACTCACCATTTTATGAAATTCTGTTTAATTGGCTTGAAGTCAAACTGGTTCAACTCTTTGATTCGAGTAAGCTCGGAAGTTGCTAACAAATAACTCTATCTATCTATCCATCCATCCATCCATCCATCCATCGTTCTATCCGTCTGTCTGTCTGCCGTCCGTCCATCCATCCATCCATCCATCCATCCATCCATCCATCCATCCATCCATCCATCCATCCATCGTTCTATCCGTCTGTCTGTCTGTCCATCCATCCATCCATCCATCGTTCTATCCGTCTGTCTGTCTGTCTGTCCGTCCATCCATCCATCCATCCATCCATCGTTCTATCCGTCTGTCTGTCTGTCTGTCTGTCTGTCCATCCATCCATCCATCCATCCATCGTTCTATCCGTCTGTCCATCCATCCATCCATCCATCCATCCATCCATCCATCCATCCATCGTTCTATCCGTCTGTCTGTCTGTCTGTCTGTCTGTCCATCCATCCATCCATCCATCCATCGTTCTATCCGTCTGTCCATCCATCCATCGTTCTATCTGTCTGTCTGTCTGTCCATCCATCCATCCATCGTTCTATCCGTCCGTCCGTCCGTCCATCCATCCATCGTTCTATCCGTCTGTCTGTCTGTCTGTCTGTCCATCCATCCATCCATCCATCGTTCTATCCGTCTGTCTGTCTATCCATCCATCGTTCTATCCGTCTGTCTGTCCATCCATCCATCCATCCATCCATCGTTCTATCCGTCCGTCCGTCCGTCCATCCATCCATCGTTCTATCCGTCTGTCTGTCTGTCTGTCTGTCTGTCCATCCATCCATCCATCCATCGTTCTATCCGTCTGTCTGTCTGTCTGTCCGTCCATCCATCCATCCATCCATCCATCGTTCTATCCGTCTGTCTGTCTGTCCGTCCGTCCGTCCGTCCGTCCATCCATCCATCCATCCATCCATCCATCCATCCATCGTTCTATCCGTCTGTCTGTCTGTCTGTCTGTCTGTCCATCCATCCATCCATCCATCCATCGTTCTATCCGTCTGTCCATCCATCCATCGTTCTATCCGTCTGTCTGTCTGTCCATCCATCCATCCATCGTTCTATCCGTCCGTCCGTCCGTCCATCCATCCATCGTTCTATCCGTCTGTCTGTCTGTCTGTCTGTCTGTCTGTCCATCCATCCATCCATCCATCCATCGTTCTATCCGTCTGTCCATCCATCCATCGTTCTATCCGTCTGTCTGTCCATCCATCCATCCATCCATCCATCGTTCTATCCGTCCGTCCGTCCGTCCATCCATCCATCGTTCTATCCGTCTGTCTGTCTGTCTGTCTGTCTGTCCATCCATCCATCCATCCATCGTACTATCCGTCCGTCCATCCATCCATCGTTCTATCCGTCTGTCTGTCTGTCCATCCACCCATCCATCCATCGTTCTATCCGTCCGTCCGTCCGTCCATCCATCCATCGTTCTATCCGTCTGTCTGTCTGTCTGTCTGTCTGTCTGTCCATCCATCCATCCATCCATCCATCGTTCTATCCGTCTGTCCATCCATCCATCGTTCTATCCGTCTGTCTGTCCATCCATCCATCCATCCATCCATCGTTCTATCCGTCCGTCCGTCCGTCCATCCATCCATCGTTCTATCCGTCTGTCTGTCTGTCTGTCTGTCTGTCCATCCATCCATCCATCCATCGTACTATCCGTCCGTCCATCCATCCATCGTTCTATCCGTCTGTCTGTCTGTCCATCCACCCATCCATCCATCGTTCTATCCGTCCGTCCGTCCGTCCATCCATCCATCGTTCTATCCGTCTGTCTGTCTGTCTATCCATCCATCCATCCATCCATCCATCGTTCTATCCGTCTGTCTGTCTGTCCATCCATCCATCCATCCATCCATCCATCCATCGTTCTATCCGTCCGTCCGTCCGTCCATCCATCCATCGTTCTATCCGTCTGTCTGTCTATCCATCCATCCATCCATCCATCCATCCATCCATCCATCCATCCATCCATCGTTCTATCCGTCTGTCTGTCTGTCTGTCCATCCATCCATCCATCCATCCATCGTTCTATCCGTCTGTCTGTCTGTCTGTCTGTCCATCCATCCATCCATCCATCCATCCATCGTTCTATCCGTCCGTCCATCCATCCATCGTTCTATCCGTCTGTCTGTCTGTCCATCCATCCATCCATCCATCGTTCTATCCGTCCGTCCGTCCGTCCATCCATCCATCGTTCTATCCGTCTGTCTGTCTGTCTATCCATCCATCCATCCATCCATCCATCGTTCTATCCGTCTGT